TTCCTTCTCCTCCTTCCTCTGTTTTCGTGTGTTAGTGCAAATGGGGATGCGATGATGGACAAAGGTGGCGGTGGCGCGTTCCGGGGAAGGCGACAATGGAGTGAATCGTTTTTCAATTTGACATTTTAGGATTTATGAAATTGAGAATTGGAGAATTAGGTTTTTCATTTTCAGATTTGGGATTTTTGTTCTTGTTTCTGCGACTTAGGGTTTCAGCCATTCATCTAATTTTGGGGTTCCAGTTTTGTTATCTGAGTTTGTGAAACAATTTGTTATCTGAGTTTGTGAAACAGCGTGGTTATGTCTTCGGATTGCAGAGGATATTTTCTCCAAGCGCGAGTCTTGTTCATCTTTAAGGTTTTTCAGTTTTGGGGTATTTGAAATTAGAATCTGGAATTGAAATCAAAATCTAAGCACGGTAAAGAAAAAAAAAAGATCCTATTGCCTCGATTCAGGTTTTACCCGAGGCAGACAAAATAACTCGGTTCATAACCGAAATTAAGAGTCTACAATTTTTTGTCTCGCCTAAATATGCTTCGGTTCAAGAACCGGTGCGAATGAGTAAAATTAACCGGTCCCAATTCCCTTCATTACACTGCTGGTTATTAGGTATATATGTCGTGTAAGTATAATATGTTACATGAAATGAAGTATTTTCCACTAAAACGTTTAAAAAAAATACACTGCACATTATTACCAAAACTCTAGTTTATCCTAGAGTGCTAAACACACCAAATTTTACAATGTATCCATACAAAAATATTATAAATTTTATCAAAAGATACAATCTCATGAAAAAACAATTAAATTTGAAATACCTAATATTTAAAAATTACAAACAACCATTCAATTATTCAAAAACATTTTACTGGGATATTTAATTTTTTAGATTAAAAAATTGAAAACTATCTAGAGGAAATTTTTTATTTTTCATAATTTATTTCTCTCTCTGATAGACTAGCTCTCCAATAATTGGAAAAAAATCCAAAAGTAGCCAACGAGGAAAATGCTGTCAGACTTAGTACAAATAAACACAGTAATAACATCTTCCCATAAGTATTTATTATAAGAAAAAAAACTATATAAAATTATTTGATTCAAAATATATAAAATTAAGTTTCACTTTACTAGTTACATAATTTATTGAGAGAATATTGTGGTAAATTTATGAGTATAATGCAGGGAGTGTTGGGTTGGGGTCCAGCGATAGAATTATGTGAGCACAATGCATGGATGCATTTATCACATGGAAATATAGAATGGTGCTAAGAAGTTTTGTTTGGATGCGGAGTCACGCCCAACCAAACATGAGGGAATAGGAAAGAGAAATTAATTTCTGTTAGTTTATATAAAAAGATAGATAAATAAATGAATTTTAATTAGAAAAAGAAATGTTTTGGTTCCAAAAAAATTGGTGTAAAAGTTGTTAAAGAAGATAGTGAGGCAGTGGTAGCCGATGGACGATGATATTCCCAAACAAGTCAAACAAATGAAGTTTGAGTGGTGAGGGGGATTGATGTTGATGCTACTTTGCTCCAAATCCTTTTCACATTCAACTCTTTAATAAAATAATAACATCACATTTCACACTCCCTTACGTCATTATCAAACAAATTACCCCTCTTCAATATAATTTACTTACTTTTTAACATATCATATCCACTCTATATTTAACTTATAATACATGCAAATTTAACTTTTTTTTTTACATATAAAATTCAGATAAGTTTATAAGTTTTTTTCATAAGAAAGAATCATTTCAAAACTTTTTAAAATCATGGTGTAAGATATAATATAATATTGTACATTGTTTTTGTTAGAACGATGAGTATTCACGATTCCAAAAGTAATTTAGTTATTTGTTTCCTTTTTCTTCTTTTCGTGTATTATCTTCAGTTTTTTCAGAAATTTGAGTATTTTTATAAGTAAAAAAATTAGAGTGTTCAGGTATTAATGTGACAAATTATTTTACTTGAATTTCATATATATATATATATTAATGAATTTTTACATATTACTTACTTAATTATGGTTTAATGATCCCTTAATTACAATTACAATACTGATTTGCATTAATCTTTGTAGGCATGTTTAATCATATTAGTTGTGTATAAACCGAAATTTGTGAAAGAAACATCATAGACTTTCTATTCAAATAATCGAACTCACACATTATTTACAATATAAAGAAAAAATATATATTGTATAATTGTATTTAAAACATTGTTTTAAATAATTTGTAATCATTTCAAAATAATAATATGATTCTTTTCTATGGTAAATTTTATTTATTTATCCATTTTTTAATGTAAGTAGACAACCATCATTATTTGATAATGAAATTAATAAAAATAGAGAATGAAAATTCACTTTTATTTTTGTTTTCAAGGACCATCTATAATGATGATAGAAGATGTGTCTTTTCACCTAGATACTAAATCTTTATTGAACATTACTTTTCAACAACTTCCTTCCCAATGACACAAAAGTTCATTGAATACACATTTTACTATTATCAAATGTGAATTTCATTTTAAATTAGAGAATAATATCTATGATAATCAAAATATTTGTAATTAGTATTATTGACCAATTTAGAATCTAATTAATCACTAATTACAACTGTTTATTTTAAATATCAATAATTTTTAGTGTATAAATTTGTATCTAAATTAGTCATTATAGTGATGAATTAGTTTTGATCTATAATATTTGATTATTATTTAAAAATTTTATTGTAGTGATTTGTTATGGTAACTTTACTTTTATTTTAGGTCATTTGGATCCATTATCACGAAAATGAAATGAGAAAGTCGATAAATGTTGAGGTTTTTTAACTAAGTTGTTTTGTATCTCTTATATGTTTTACAATTATATATTAAGCTTAATCAAGTTGATAAGTTTATATAACAATTTGAATTTCACTAATATATTTTTAACAATCTATCAAATTTATATTAATTTCACAAGTAAAACATGATAGGAATGTCAAATATATATTGGTCATAATATAATAAAAAATAGATAACAATATAGACTATTATTACAATGGTTTAATTTAATAAAATAAGTTTAATGAAAATGATCATTTGTGTGACAATGCATAACACGAATAATAATACTTTTTGTTTTTCTATTCAATCAATCCTTATCTTTTAAACATTATGATACACCATAAGATGTAAAAAATCTAGATCGTATTTATCATCATGTTAAATATTCTTCAAATATACACTAAGATCAACAATATATTCGTTAGTCTAATCTTTAACCATCTTCAATATTCCTATATATATCATTGCCATAACATGTTTCTTAATTTAATTTAAAAAAATTCCTTATACATTATATTTTTTTTTATCTCATTCAGAATTTTCTTTTTTGACCCATTGTATGTACATGTTCATAATATAAAAAAAGAGAAAAAAAGTTCAACTAACTATTATAAGATGACGACGATGTTGCAATAACAAATTAACAAGTGAGATAAAACCTAAATAAAAATATCTTGGTGGACAAACTAAGATTTTTACTTTCAATTTTTGGATTACATAATTAATTAAGAAAACTGAAAAATTATTGAAAGAAAGAACATTACGATCATAATAATTTTGAACATTTAAACAATTTATACATAAAAAAATACACTTTAGAAGCCTTATATGTGCACATACAATTTCAGGATTAAAAGAAGAAGTCGTGTGTCACAATAAGACTTAAAATAAAAATTAAAAGATATCACTTCAACTTTTCGAAAAAAATATTAAAAATCATGTAAGACGACTTCGTATAAAAAATTTAAAGTTGAAGTTGCGTATTAAAACACACTTTTTATTTATTAAAAGTAGAAAAATGTTATAAATAAAAGTCATGGATTACAACACAATTTCCTTAAATAATGAAATTATTCCAAAGTACGAGTTGTCCATTTCTAATAATCATTTAAAAATTATGCATTGTAATAAATTCTTAAAAAATTTGCACTTTGCTGCTTTAACCTAAAATCAACTGAACGTCAAATTTTGAAGTTGCCGACTCTACTTCGGACTCTGACCACACAAATATCTGCAACCATATGCTATTTCTATAAAGTATTTCAGAAATTTTAAATCAAAACAAATTCGTCGTTTCTTTTGTATTTCCATGAATAAAAAAATTATTATCTGTTTGGATGTTTTTCTTAAAATTATATAATATAAAAGTAATTTTTCAACATAATTTTTAATCATTATAATTTAAAATTTAAAATTATACAATTCAAAAACTTTTTTTCATGTGAAAAATAATTTTAAACGGTACAATTTAAAACATTATTTTTAAGTAAATTCACAATTATAAACAAAAATGATAGTAGTTAGATACTGGAAATGGAAAAAACACATATGTATGCATGTATGTCTATTTCATTATGATAAAAAGAATAAAATTATTATTATTACATTTATAAAAACAAAATTTTAATTATTTAATTATAGATAGTTTTAATTTCTTTTATAGGTAATTGTTTTTATTATAACTAATCATTGTAGTTTTAAAAAGTGTTTAAGTATAAAAAAAAACACAGTCAAATAAAAATTACTTAAATTTAAAAAATAAAAAGACATAGAAAGTAAAACCGGTAATGTAATTAATTTAATTTAAAAAAAATATTTAAGTGGTAAAACAGAAAAGAAAATATCTATACTAAAAAAGATAATCTTCCTTCATGTAACGAGGACAAGAAGAAGAGAGGTGCAGACGAAAACTATGGGAGTGCAAAAGAAAGGACACAAGTTGTAAATAAATGTAGAGAGATGAGGATCCAGCCCAAAGTTAATTTGGTGGGCTCTTGGATATAAGTAGCCAGCCCAGAAAAAAATAAATTGATTGATATTTAAAAAACAAATGTAATAAAAAAGAGTTGACTAATAAAATGGCGAACCATTGGTAAAGAATATTGAATTTGGACCTCAAAAGCAATCATGGTTAAAGGAGGATCAGTAACAAGGGTAACTAAAAGTAGGCATGAGCTCCCTCTCAATTCCTTCAAATTTTCTCAAAAGCTTCATCAACTTTAATGTTCATAGAAAGAAATAACCAAACATGAAATACAACAACCCAATCACCGTTTTCCTCTTCCTCTCCCTATCATTCCTCCCTTCCATGCAAAACAAACTCACTCCCGATTACTACAAAAAAACCTGCCCCACCTTCCTCGACACCGTCCGAAGAATCGTTAACGAAAAGCAGCATAACACGCCCTCCACCGCCGCCGCCACCCTCCGCCTCCTCTTCCACGACTGCATGGTCGGCGGCTGCGACGCCTCCATCCTCGTCACCTCCAATGCCTACAACAAGGCCGAGCGCGACCACACCGTCAACCTCCCCCTCTCCGGGGACGGCTTCGACGCCGTCTTGCGGGTCAAGAACGTCCTCGAGCTGGAATGCCCCAACGTCGTCTCGTGCGCCGACATCCTCGCTGCTTCCGCCGGCGAACTGGTGGCGAACTCCGGCGGCCCCACCTTGACTGTCCAATTCGGGCGAAAAGACTCCCTGGAATCCAAAATCTCCAGCTCTGAAAACCAGTTCCCATTACCGAACATGACTATGTCCCAAGTGATCACCCTCTTCACCAAAAAAGGGTTCTCTGTGCAGGAAATGGTGGCCCTGATCGGTGCACACACCATAGGGATGTCCCACTGCGACCAGTTCGCCCACAGGCTCTTCGGCTTCAGCAAAACTTCGGAAACTGATCCCGCCTATAGTCCCGAGTACGCGGCGGGGCTGAGGAAGCTATGTGAGAACTACACGAAGGACTCTAACATGGCGGCTTACAACGACGTGATAACTCCGGTTAAGTTCGACAACATGTATTTCAAGAACTTGCGGCGAGGGTTGGGGTTGCTGGCCACTGACTCCGCCCTCTTCACTGATCCCCGGACGAAGCCCTTCGTTGAAACCTATGCCGATGATGAAGGGAAGTTCTTTCAGGACTTCTCTCGCGCCATCGAAAAGCTCAGCGCCTTGGACGTTAAAACTGGAAAGGAAGGAGAGGTGCGGAGCAGATGTGATTCTTTCAACTCGCTTAATTGATTATCTCACACACAAATATTGCACTTTTCTCTTTCTCTCTCTCTGCAAATTCACTTGTTCTTCATCTCTTCCAAATAAATTAAAAAATGTGTATAGTATGGCGATTTAGCTCGAATAAAATTTCTAGCTTTTTTTATTAACTTCATCAAATTTTGAATAAATATCATATTCCTTTTTAGAAGTACATGAAGTGGATATTTTAGTTTATGTCGGATCAAATCAAATAATTTGCACATACTTTGATGACAAATTATGAGATAAAAATAAAGAGTATTTAACAAGCCAGTGTGAAAAAGTTTTATGTTCATGTATATTTACGATTCTGATTTTTTTTTCAGTGTGAATTATGGCAATATTACTTTCTATCAAGATACAACAATGTTTTTAATAATAATATGTTAAATTAGGATATTTCATAAAAATATAAATAACTTTTTTAATAAAAATAGTTGTAAATTGGTGATATACAATTGTGGTTGTCTTTTCTACCTATTCTCATCTGTTGACAAGTTTACGCGTGTAAGAACAGCCCTGTCCAAATTTGGGTTGCTTTTTGCACACCCTATTTTATTCTTTATATTTTAAACTGAAAAATTCTACTAAAATGTCTTAAACTTTGATATTTTTTATGGTATTCTCAATTTTTATCTTGTCAAAAATACTTTTTTTCATCCACATCATCGTATATAATATTTTATTTAGTCGTATATATGAGTATATGTAACAGAAAAGTCTTAAGAGTTTTATACTTAATACCTAGGTTTTGATGTGGTAAAATAATAGTTTATATTTAAAACTTGGGTGTTCTTGTATAAGAACCTTTATTTTAAGAATAAAAAATATTTAATTATATAATTAAATGAATTGAATAAGCAATAATGATTATGTTATAGAGATTTACTTTAATTAAACTACATCTAATTTTCCTTCAATAAGTGTTTGAAGGATTTAACTAAAATAGAGATCACATAATTATTTTTTATTGTCAATTTTAAATAATACAAGTTACATAGAGTTATTCTTGGATATTCATAATAAATTTTCTTCACTAAAGACTATAAGTTATTTTTTTCACCAAGTAACTTTTAATTTTTATTTTTTTTAAGTATTCTTTTATTTAAACTCTTAGATATAATAAAAAAGTTGTTTAGAATATAAGAAAAAGAATTATCTATCAGAGGGGTATAAACACTAGTGTAGAATTGAGCTTTAACATCACCCCGTAGACGTCGGACAACAAAATAATTAACGTAAATTATTGATCGGTGGCATTTTCGTAAATAAGTGGGCATTAAGACGTCTGTTAGGAGGGCCCCCGACGTCTATAAGACGTTGGGGCCCCTCCTAACAGACGTCTTAATGCCTGACAGGTAGGTGAAAAGTCATTTTTTTCCGCCTTAGAGACGTCCGATCCCACCACCTCGACATCTATATTCGATTATAGACGTCGGTGACCCTCTTAACGGACGTGTATATGTCTAACAGGTAGATGAAAATTTATTTTTCTCCGCCGTACAGACGTCGGATCACGCCAATCGACGTCTAAATGGCCTGATGAAAGTTGTTTTGGACGTCATATTAGTGAGGGCCCTGACGTCTAGTTTAGAATAGACGTCGGTTCACTTGGGGAGCCAACGTCTAGTTTGCTGTTAAATGAGACATGAAACCCGTTGTTACGAGCACTTCATCGTCTTCCTTCTCTCGCCTTTTCTTGAACTGTTTAAACGTACTTTTATTTTGGTTATATTAGTCTTTGGTTGATTATCTTTCATTTGAACCGATTAAAATGAGTTTTTGTTGTGTTTTGGTGCATTTTTTCTCGTGTCTTTGGATAATGATGTACCGCATTATCCCTTTGCTAGTTTCCTCATAAGAAAAGCTTGCGCCTTTTGGATGTTTTATAGCGTTTCAACCCAAAATCGAACTTCGGTCCTTGCCTAGTTCTATTGTCACCGTTCGTTTTCATTGTCGGATTTAATGGAACTAGGCAAGGACCCATATTAGGTTTTCGGTTGAAATGGCATAAGGGATCCAAAAGACGCAACCTTTTCTATGATGAAACTAGGAAAGGGAAGAAGGTGCTACTACGCTACCCAAAGACACAAGCTGTAGTAGACGTCGGATAATCAATGTTCGGCATCCATGGAGCTCTTTAGACGTCGGGGTCATGTAGTAACCGACGTTTATGGAGCCCTTTAGACGTCGGGTCATGCAATAACCGATGTCTTTATAGATGCTGGGCCTATTTTGTGTCCGACGTTTGATTAACGTCACCCACAAAGACGTCGGTTCTAGATTTGACGTTAAAAGGCCAAAATAACAGACGTTAAATGCCCTTTCTGCACTAGTGGAAATATGATTTTTTTTTGTTTAAGTTAAACATCCCATATGGACATGAGGAGCTTCTTTATGTTTTTCTTAAAGAAACCCATTTTTATCCTTTTTTTCTTTCTTTTTTTCTCTTTTGCACTTGCATACATTTTCTTGTCTTTCTTCCCTTGGTTGTTAGGAAAGAGTTTCTCATCATCCTATATATGTTTTTTTCGTTCGCATGTCAATATTTTTTAATCAAAATTGTTAAAAGGAGATTTAAAGCACAAACATTTGTCATGGATGTCTCTCCCTTACACTATGTTCACTTCGGGCGAAACACTATTCACGTATTATTGCGAGCGAAGAATAGAAGAGAAAGTCGTATTCACTTGAAGAGAAATGCGTGGAAGGAATGAAAGAGAATTGCGAGATTCAGTACTTTTCAATCACCCACTAAGAAGGCGAGATTTGGAGGGATTGCAGTTTAAAAGTCTGATGTGCCCCTCTACATTTTACTAATTCCACTTCCAATTTTGTTACTTTAATATAATCGATTCTAAGTAATAAAACATTGATTCCAAGCATTATAAATTAAGAAAAGAAGTTGGCTACATTGTTCACTCACGAGTCACTGAAAGTGAAAGTTGCATAGAGATTTCGGAGCCTTTCTGATGAGCATCCTTCACAGGCATTGAAGATTCCTGCATGCATTAGTCACAGTAGACACTATATTAACTTTGAATAGCTTTTGACCATCGAACAACCATTAATATGTGGTTTTTCTATGGTTCTTGTTGTCTTAATTGAGCCAAAAGAGCATTGACTTGTGCAAGTGAATGAAGGAGCATTGTCTGCAAGTGTGTTTATGCAAGTATTGTTTGGTGCGTTGAGTGTGGACGAAGAGAGAAAGCTAAGGTCAGGTTAGTATGATTGTAGTTGTTTAGGCAAGTGTTTGTTATTTTTTATGTTGCAGGATTGGTGGTAGATGAAGAAGATAAGCTTGATGGCTGGAGGAGATGAAGAAGAAAGTGGTTTATAAAGAAGACGAGTCTGCGAAGCTGGAGAAGATAAAGAAGGTGAAACCCTATTCGGTTCCAAGATGTCGTATTCGGTTACAGGCGTGTGAAGACAAACATAGGAAACCGTATTCGGTTCCCATCCCTGCGTATTCAGTTCCCCCAACTGTATTCGGGTAGGAGCGCCTGTATTCGGGTACGAGCGCTTGTGTTGGGGACATTGCAGCATGGATCCGGTTCCAGACGGCGTATTCGGTTCCCTTGGAGGAATTTGCTTCATGCTTGCAAATCGTGATAGTGCGTTGATGGTTGAAGAAGGTGGACGTTGCAGTACCCATGCGACGAAGGTGGTGGTTGATGCAGCGCACATCCGATAGTGGTTGAAGCAGTGGACAAAGTTGTCCGTGATGATGGAGGATGGAGCGAGCATGTGATGGTCCTTGAAGCAGCGACGAAGGTGTCCGTCATGGTGGAGGATGCCCACACAACAGGATGCAGAGAAGAGTGCAGGATGGCGAAGGTGGTTCAAATATGAGAACCCCTAACCGTTTGTTTGTGATGCAGGTGTTCAGTGGAGTTGTTGGAGGTGTTGTGAACATGGTGAACTTCAAGCGTGAAAGTTGATTGCAAAGGTCGTGCGTGGGTGAACATAGTTTGTGATTATTTATGCATCTTTTTCGGGTAGCAAAGATGATGCAATTTTTTACTTGAAGATTGAAGATTTTATCTTGTTTCTCTGCATTAGGAAACCTACGCTGAAGGCTTGAAAAGGGTAGCACAAAAATAGATTTATTTGCGCCTTCAATTTGGGTTTTGGGTCTGGTTTTCTGATTTGTGTGTTTGGTTTGGTGGAAGTTGGGTGCTTACTTGACTATGATGTGAACCTTTGGTTCTGTGGAACTTGGTTGGACAGGGTCTGAGCATAAAATTGGTCCACATATTGTCTGGCTTACTTTTTGTGGTTTCTTGGCCTATTTTCAGGTATCTCATTTTTGTGTTTAAGATCATGGTTTTTTATCTTTCATACGAGGAAGGTATGAGCTGTATGTAATGCTGCTTTGTTTGAATGTTTTTATTTTAATGCTAGGATAACAACTCCCCTAAAGCTCATTACTTTTCCGCTTTTGTACCTCTGTTCAATTGCTTTAGGCTTTTGGTGAATGGTCTGTCATTGGCTTCTGATGAGGGACTGTTAACACATTGACAAGTGTACCAAATCGTATCAAGTAATATAAAATGGTAAGACCAAGTATCGTTTTCCAAGAGACTCGTGCTTACTTAACAGTTGTGTAATACCTTAATTAATCAAGACTTAAAAGCTATTTTGTTGGTGTTTAAATGTAAATGCAACAAAAGTAAATATGAATGGAAATTGATCAATTGAGGTTTGACACAAGAATGAATGGATGAGGTTGATAATATGAGATGATGATGTTGTTGGGGTTAGATTTCACCTACTTCACTTTCATGCATATTAGAATTCATCTTCTTCATTGGAATGTTAATGTCACTTTCTAAATTGCTTAGAACCCGATGTCTCGGTGTAAAAAGCTTAGTCTGGATTATTAAACAACAATCCCTTAAAAACCCTAACAATCAATTCCGCATTAAGAAAAGAAGCTTAAGACAACCAAACGTCCTGTCCCTGTCCCTAAGCAATATTTCCTTTGG